AAAAGTCCCCTTATTGTCTCTTTCTCTTAGGTGTTCCATTTGGAGAATTTCCACTTAAATTTGACACTTCGAAAATAAATTAAAACGTTCGAAAATCCCTCTGTTGTTGATCGTCGGATTTTCGAGAGGTGTTTGTCAAAATTGATCCCTGGTCAATAAGAAATAAGTTTGGTACAATAGCAGGTTTATTTTAAAATTTTCCATCTGTCAAATTTAAGTAAAAAATCACCAAACGAAACACAGCCTTAAGCTGTGAACCATTTGCCGAGTTAAATTTAACTCGTGGTTAAAAGTGACATTTCGAAAGTTATTTTCTATGTTTGAAAATCGCTGTGCTGTCGACCTGTTTTCGAGAAGAACTTAGTCAAGGTTGTCAAAATTTAACTTCTTGTTTGTCAGAAGTAACCACGCTCGGATAGCAGGGTTTTTTTTTCCGTGTCGTGGACATTTACCACTGCGACCAGTGTTTTGATCTATTGTGGTGTATCCTCTTTTTACTATTTGCCGTGTGTTTTGATGATCAACCACTATGTAGAATGATCTTCATCATTGATCATCGGCATTATCCCAATATGGAATTGCACTTCGAATGAAGTTTACAACTTTATTGGGTATACTGGTCCAAATTTCTTCAGGTACGGTGAGTCCTTTATCAAGAAATCTGCATCGTTTATTAAATAAAGCAGTGCAATCACACAATAAATGTTCAGAGCTTTCGCTCTCCAAATAACAAAAGCGATATCTATCGTCGCTAAGCTTTCCAATTTTTTTTTTTTTTTTTTTTTTTTTTTTTTTTTTTTTTTTTTTTTTTTTTTTTTTTTTTTTTTTTTTTTTTTTTTTTTACTAAGTATGGTTTGTTTTAAACAGATTAGGGTAAACGCTCTTATAGTTGCGGATCGTTAGAAGCGTTACCCGGAAAAAAATAACCATACAATTACCATAAAATAAAATACAATCACAACATAATTCATTGCCAACAATCGATCCTATTGTACGTATATCATACAAGTAAATTTAAAATATTGTTATTACAACAGATCTACAATCAGGGTGTCGACTACCTGGAAAAACCTGGAAAGTCAGGGAATGTCAGGGAATTCTATTTATGATCTGGAAAGTCAGGGAATGTCAGGGAATATTAGTGTAGGTCAGGGAAAAAAATAATGTTGATCACATTGCTAAAAATTATGTGTGGGACACATAAAACAATCTTTGAAATTTTATCAGTGCATGACGTCAACGTTTTTGGGAAGGTCCCGGGCATCAGATCTACTCGCTGCGTTTATGGACGCCCTTGCCGGTATCTCTTCGAACAAGTTGCTGCAAGTGTCCATGGATGGGCCCAATGTGAATTGAAGCAAGAGGTACAAAAAGGTGGCGAGAAGCTGATAGATCTGGGAAGCTGTGGGTTGTATATTTTGCATAATACATTCAAGGATAGTGTTTGCAGTATCAGTTGGGATGTTTTCAAATATATGCGTGGTATCCAGAATATCTTCAAAGATGTACCTTATCGCATGGCAACGCCAATGCAGAGAGAGGTTTTTAGGTAAATGTAGATAGATCTGGAATTAGGGCGTAGCAGCTTTTGTAAACAATGACTTCTATCGACGATTTCTAAGAACTCAATGCACGCCCACGCAAACCAACATAACCGTCGGGTAAGGGAAGCCTTCCTATACCCGATGGTGCTGTTGATTTGCGTTGGTGAGCCTTAACTTTCTAGCAATCAACGAAAGAAGTCATTGTTTACAAAAGCTATTACGCCCTAATTCCAGCTCTATCTAGAAATGCAGAATATCTTTTTGAAAAAAAAAAATAGCATCAGCATCAGTCCAGCATCAAAATGAAAGCATATTGAAATCAAGTTTTGATATCAACATCAAACTGAAATCGTAATTTGATTTCAGTTTATGCAATTGATAAATTTTGTTTTCATTTTGCTGTACATTTGCTCTTCAAAAATATGTTGTTGCGGGTTTGATTTCATTGCCTTAACATAACATCAAATTGAATACTTGTTTTTTTATCAACATGAAAAATTGATATCAAATTGAGTATTCAGTTTGCTCTCACTGATAGCAGAAATAGTTTTCAATGTGATGTCACAGGAAGATATGTTTGCTATCAATTTTGATATTTTAACCGTTAAAACGACCAAAACGACAGCAACCTGAGTTATCATTATCAGCGAAATCACAACATCAAATTTAGATCGCAATTTGATCTCAGACTTTGCTCGAGCTGTGTCCATGATCGAGGGAAAAAAAGTTAAATAATACCACTGAACTGTTCAAAAGTTCATCTAATTGAGGTTAACCACTAACGGTGCAAATCCTGATTGGCGGGCAAAAGTTGGCGCTACTTAGTGGCGTAAGATAGAAATTTTGACATGATGGTGCTTTCAAAATTCTTTCACGGTGAGGTATGGGAGAATAGTTTGAAATCATATAAACAAGATCGACATAACTTCAGAAAGTACTGGTTTCAATCAATTCGGAAACTACTGAATCATTAGGAATGTATTGTATCACTTTAGAAATGTTCGAAATCACTTCTGAACGTACTGTATCGATTTAGAACAGTGTGGAATCACTTCAGAGAGTCTTGAATCACTTCAGAAAGTCTTCACAGCAAAAAAAAAGTTCATGATCACTTCGGAAAGTACTGAATTATTTCAGAAAGCACTGAATCACTTCGGAAAGTGTTGAACCACTTTAAGCTCGGAATCTCTTGGGATAGTATTGAATCACTTCAGAAAATTTCGGATTCACATTGGAAAGTACTGAATCATCCCAGAAAGTTTGTAATAATTTCCGCAATAACAGCGCCGGCCGCTTCATAATGTAGGTCAATTAGACCGTCAAAAACCGAGAGATCCTCCTCACTTCCAGGAATTTTTCAACAGTTTCTCAGCAGGATTTATTTCAGGGAGTATTGATTATTATCGCTAAGCTACTCAATTGTGACACATCGAAAAAGATCTCGACTTTGGCGACATAGATGAAGAACAGCCAACTCTTCACAACTCGATGTCAAGTTACTCGATATACAGTTATATAACCATCATAAAAATGAGTGTCATGGCTACTGAGATAGCGAATTTGTATGAGATTGTTATTCTATAACTCGATAATTTTATAGGTACCTCGAGTCGTAGAGAGTGCACTGTAGTTACGTTTCCAAAAACGAGATCTGTCTATACTGACATTACATTCCATTAGGAAAGTTTAGAATCACTTTGGAAAGTTAAGAATCCCTTCAGAAAGTACTGAATAACTTGAGAAAAGATTAGGATCACTTTGGTAAGTACTGGACCATTTCAGAAAAAAAAGCAGCCAACAGAATAACTTCAAACAGTACTGAACTTTACAAAAGTTTTGAATCACTTCGGAAACATTGGAAGCACTGGATTCGTGTATTCAGCTCATAGCATATTTAATAACTTCAGAAAAGCTTGAGTTCAGTAGGGAAAACGTTGAATCGCTTAAAGATAGACTCACTTCCGAAAATGTTAAATTTTTCGGGACTGATTTAATACTTTCGGCAGTAATGTCACGAGTTCTTGGGAACGTTTAAAGCAAGAACTTGTTATAAACGTGAAAACGTGGCACTGAAACAGTAAATGTATTGCCTAATAAGGTTTCCAAAGATAACATCAGTTGTAACAACACAAACATCTCTGGTTCTTATTTCAAAGATTTGCGTAGCGACGATTGATGGTAATGATTTGTAAAACGCCAGAGGTGTTCTGAGTAAAACGCATAAAACGAATCCATATTTATGTATCTTTATTTTTTGTTTTTTTGATTTTAACTATCATCATATCCATAATCTTCCCCTTAATTGGCCTAGTACTTGTGACTTAAGAAGGGGGACCGAGTGTCTCGGAGAAACAAAAGTTCGTTGCGCCTTTGCGCAGTTGGGAGGTTTTGATTTGATAACATACTGATAGTTTTGGAAATTTTGCTTTGTTTAGGAAAATTTTAGAAATTGTTCAAGGTTTTTCCTGAAATTAGGAGAAAGTCGAGCAAGATAAATATGATATAAATTAGAAAACACAAATGATAGTACTGGGGAAATGTTGACGGAACTTTCATAATCGAACTAATCATAATTTCAAGAAGAAAGGGTAAAGGGACTTATAAACTAGATAAAACACTATGTGAAACAACGCCATCAACGTCGCGGGCGAATGCATCGTTATTTTAGGCAGATTTATATTTTAAGGGCGCCGGTCAATATTGGGTGCGACTACTTAGCTCAAATTTTAGGAACACAGCACTGGGTATAATAAAGCTCATCACGTTGTAGCTTCTTAGGTTAAAATAACGTAGTTTTGTGGACTGGAAATTTTCTGAAAACCGACTGGAAAGTCAGGGAAAGTCAGGGAATTTTGTTTTCGACTTTGAGTCGACACCCTGTACAATACGTTCCATGTAGTATGAATTTTCAACAATAGAAAAACAAAATTAATGGTTATTATTAATGGCTCATGTTTGTTCGGGAAAAAAGTGAATTTTTGTACGGTTAGGATACATAACAACCCCCTTGTTCTATTGTAGATTTCTCCATTTACCATAGATTCAATTGTGGAAACAATTAATCCTATGGTTGTTTTAACGTTGTGGACAGTACAATTTATTGTAAATACAATAAATTGTAATGTATGGTTACAATACATTTCATTGTACTTCTACAGTTCTCTTTTTACGTTGTGTTGTGTATTGAGTTTCCATGCACAACTATAGGAACCTAACGCTTCGAACGTACCGCAACTATAGTAGCGTTTTCCCTAATACTTTGAACAGAATTGATTGAATGGCTGTGTTGGATCGCTTTCAACTGAATGATACGAAAATCAATAGCACTGCACAATATACAAATGTAAAAATGGTACTGACTTGAAAAGAATCTCTCAATTAACAACACTCGAAGCAGAACATCTTAGTATGACCATTATTAACAGCTTTCTTCCCGTTTTCTTCCTCTCATTGCAGCTTTATCGAGCATGACCGTGTGAGCGGTTTCTGGACGTGGTTGTTCGTGCTTTCCAAGCTGCCTGAACTGGGCGATACCGTGTTCATCGTGCTCCGGAAACAGCCGCTGATCTTCCTGCACTGGTACCACCACATCACTGTGCTGATGTATTCGTGGTTCTCGTACACCGAATACACCGCCTCGGCCCGTTGGTTCATCGTGATGAACTACTGCGTCCACTCGGTGATGTACTCGTACTATGCGCTGCGTGCCCTGAACTTCAAGCCTCCCCGTTCGATCGCCATGCTGATCACCACCCTGCAGCTGACTCAGATGGTCGTCGGCTGTGCGATCAACATCTGGGCGCACGGGTTCCTGCAGACCGCTGGCAAGGGCAGCTGTAACATCTCCGAAATGAACATAAAGCTGTCGATCGCCATGTACTTCAGCTACTTCGTCCTGTTTGCTCGTTTCTTCTACAAGACCTACCTCTCGACGAACGCCCGCAAGGGCAAACGCTCGGTCAACTCGGCTTCCATTAACGGAAGTGCTTCTGCCGAATACAGTAGTAAACATGCCTCGATGGCTGCTATGAATGCCAATCTATCGACGGCAGCACAAACCGATAAGGTTAAAGCACAGTAAGATGGCTCCGGGCTGCAGCACATCTCCCGTGGCAAATGCACACAAACACAGCAAAACCAAGAAAACAAATTTCAACCAGGATCTTCTCCTATCTATGTACGTTGTCGCTGTTGCGTCCGCAGCAGCCACGCCGTTGTGCTTCTTCTCATGTTACCTTCCTGTTTCCCCAAAGAGAAGGGATTGTCACTATCAGTTTTGAGGTACCATGTGAATGTTTGCGTTTTCCCCAGTCATAAGCTGCTATTCCATAGGATTATTAGTATAGCGGCTTTTAACTGAAAACTGAAAAGAGTAGGTAAAAGTTCAAGCTAATCAATAACGCGGAAGCAGAAAATCAAAGAAACAGTGGCTCAAAGAAGGATCCTGCCGTAGTCTACCGTGTGCGCTGCTTCCTGATGTGCGTGTGTGTGTGCGAACAGGATATACCTAGAAGTAGTTCAACGTTTTCAAATCAAGCAAACCGTAGGCTTTCTTTTTGTTACGTTTGTTTCTTCGGTTCAAAGGAATCATATATAGGAGAAAGTAAACTAGCGTTAAACAAACATTCAGGTGAAATACTTTAAGTCAGGAAATGTTTAGTGTTGTATAAGCTAAAAAGAGAGAGAGGAACAAAAGAGAAGTTTTGTAGGAGGGAGAAGATTAAAGTGTTGGAGGGATATCTAGGCTTAAGGGTGTTTTCCTGGCCACTTATGGAAGATGGACCTGGAAGCGGACGATACGGTACGAGACAGAACAAGAGGACTGACAGGAGTTACAAGCAGCTGGCTTCTTATTTATTTCCCTCAAATGTAAAGGGAATCGTGTAAGTTTTTTTGTTTATTACTTTTTTCTTTTGGTTATAGTTCTCTCCTCTTGAGACATGTTAGAAAATCTCTTGCAAGTAGACTTCATTTTCCAGACCGGAAATGGTTTTCGTAGAAAACAGAAAGACTCTGATGTGTGTATGTAGTAATCTGTTGTTTCGTAGTTGTAGTTTTGAAAACTTTTCAATTGTTCTTACTAGATAGCATGGAGTTTGTGTAAATATAAATCAACTGTAACATGACTTCCGGAAACACATTCCAGACTTCACCAAAACAAATTTAAACAGCTGTACTGAGTTTAACTTGGTGAAAACTAACTTACTACGGTTGTTAATGGGAACAGGCAGTGCAAAACTGCTAGTTGAGGTAAAGCAAATTTCAGTTTTCAAGCCCCTTTCTCAAACAAAACGATTGTACAGTCATCACGCAACAAAAAATAACTGGGCAAGTATTTCAGAATGTAAATAAATACAGCTCTGAAAATCGAACGTAGAAAAATCCGAGTCGCACATATTCGTTCCAAAATTGCTTCTTATTGAGCAAAATTTGTTTCTGCTTGTTCCCGCATACATTTTCCATTATCCTGTTGTTACTCTTGTAGGTTGTTTTTACTTTTAAGCTACCTTTTTCCTTTACGCCGATTTTTTGTTCAAATTCAATCAATTAAAGCAGAACCGGATCAGTTTTCCTCAATAACCGAGAAGGTAGCTCGTGCTAGTCCTTACACCGATAGTATGATTTATGGATGCTTTCCAACGCGACTGTGAGACTTGCGTGTGCACAAGCAGTTGAACTGTTGTGATAGGAACAAAGGTCGTCGCCAATCGCATCCGTAATTGTAGATAGATGGTCTGCAAACAATCAATCTTACCTCCTAGCCAGAGTCCTGCTAGTCCACCAAGGAAATCAGCAGTAAAAGCAAATGAAAAGCATTTAATCATCTACTTTACGAAACATATTCCATTCGTACTCTATAGGGCCAAGCCCAATCAATTACTATTTTCTCTCAGCTTGTTTTATAGCTTTCTTGTTTGATATTTATTCCTATTGTGGTGAATTGCGTTGCTTGACTCGACCATTCGAGTAAATGCAATACTATCAAGTGCAAAAACAATCTGCTCAAAGACGCTGTCAACCTTTTGTTAGCAGCAACACTCTATTGTTAATTTTCCATTTAAGCAGTTTTTCCAAACTCTAGTGTAAATAAATTATTTCCTTCCCTAGCAAACCTACCGGTAAATTATGACCCTTACCAACAGCTAGGTAAACAATCCATCGCTGACACCACGTGAACAAAGAATGAAATTCAGTTTTAAAGTAATCAATCCCACAATTAGAAATTCTAAAATCATACAATTCAAGAAACAAATGAACGGTGTACCACCCGTCCCAAAAGTAAATCATAAAGCCCTCAAAGATGAAAATTCGTCTCATTTTTCGCCTTAGTAAAACCAAAATGTCAAATCAGGAAATAAGTAATGGCGAAAGTGATAATGCAATCCTCTAATATTCGAAGTTGAAATACTTATTTAGTGTGCTATACTGAAAAACGGTTCAAATTTCTAGTAAAGTTCAACATATACAACATACACCAGACAAACACACACAATACACACGATCACACTCAAAGTAACAAAATGACAGGTGCTGCGAAGCAGAATAATCAACACAAACCAAACCAAACAGTGCTAAACTAAATAAAAAATCCTATTGTAAATATTCCTAACATGTATGCGCTTTCACTGTCGTTACGCTTCATTTCCCGTTATTATTTTCTCCTGCAATATAAAAAGGTTCCTTTGCAAAATTGCCTACCACGAACAAGATTTTACTTAGAGAAGAACATTCTTTTGCAATGGGTGTAGTTTGAATTAAGAAGCTTAGGAAAAAAAATTGAACAACAAAACAGTGGTCGCATTTATTAAGTAACGCACTCATTCATACTAATTCAAAAACCTACCTACATTCAGAAAAGCCAGCACACAAATCGCTAGATATTTCCACTCAATCGTGAACTCAGTCACGTGAGCAGGAAAAATGTGAGAACATGACATTTATCGAGAAAACAAAATAAGCTATCAATACTTTAACTGAGTGAACTTTGTTTTTCCGCTTTGTAACCTTTCATTTTCGTACATTCTTAGCCTTTTTTCAGTTTGACGTGTGAAATACACAAGCTTTAAAAAAAAATACAGACACAAATACACAAACACAAAGCATATTTATAATTATTACCGGGAAATTTCCATCAAACTTCGCTATACATTCGTAACTATGACACACCATGGTGGTTGAATAACAATTAACAATTAAAAACAACAGTAAAAAAAACATGAAAACGTGTTAACAAAAATATGGTTCATTTACTAGCAGTGGTATAAGAAACAAAAAATGAAGAAAACCTACCTATAGTTCGTAAAACTGTAACGTTAAAACAACAAAAAACAATTCAAAGCAAAAAATGAGTAAAGCATTGCAACTAGTGAAAAAACGGAAAAGGAAAAAAATAGAATAAATAAATGAAAGTGGTTCTGTATTGTTTCTTCTGTTTCTTATGTATGATAAAAAAAAACTACAAGAACAAAAATTGCGAATGAGAAAAAAAAACTTATAAATTTACTGAAAAACTATTCATTTTGTATCAAAATAAATTTATTAAGATTGAGAAAAATAACAATGCCTATTATGCCTGTCTGTTCTGTTGTATCACAGTCCATACTTCACATCCTGCCGGCTCTTTGCTTACACACCAAGGGGTGGTCATTCAACACACTTATTTTGCGTCAACATTTTTCTCAGTGTGCCTCAAACCGCGCTGTGCCGAGAGTACCATCAACAATCAATACGAAACTAACGATTTTAAATTGGCTCACTGCTTGACTAACCTATTGGTCCCAAGCAAATCGATTAACGTATCCTATTCTAGTCAAAATTCTAGTACTACACAATGTTTGTTTTGATTCGCTATAAAAGTTGACACATAAAATGAGGGGTTATTGGATTTTCCTATGTTTCGAGGGGTGATTCGACTAGCTTGGGACCGAAGATAGTACCAGAGGTGAGCCAAAAAGTTGAGAATATTTCTTCGGGACCTTCTGGTCTTAGAGTTACCTCTATGGTACCATGTTATCGGACTGATTTTTTTGTGTGAATAATTGTATGTTTGGCAACCCAGTAGTTTGACAATTCCAATGTTTTTTTTTGTACATCAAACCGTACGAGCTGTCGATGATAATGATCACGTCAACGCCAGATCGACAGAATGGGCAGCCCATCAAGAATACTGCTGTTGCGCAGCAGTTCCGTCTCTCGTATGTCGCAGTGTGATGAAGATTTGATCCACGGAGAGTACAGCAAACATTACACGCTGGTGAGAAACATTGGGAATGCACTCATTGAACATTCTGCACCGGGACATCAAAGATGAGGACGTTATCATCGATCACCATTTCCATATCAAGCTGATTGACTTCTGATCGGCGACGTTCGTACAGGAAGGACAACTTGTTTCTACCGTCAGTGGTACGACCGAGTACTGCAGTCCGGAAGTGTTGGCAGGCAACCGCTACTCCTACCCTGAACTGGAAATGTGGGCTCTCTGTGTGACACTGTTGTTTTTGTTCTTCGAGAACCCATTCGTGGACGTTGAGGAAATCCGTTGACAAGAATCCCACAACTCGGATCACCATCCAGGAGCTACTGGAAGCGTAATGGATGACGCAGGAAATCAATTCTAGATAGAGCTGGAATTAGGGCGTAACAGCTTTTGTAAACAATGACTTCTTTCGATCATTTCTAGAAAATCAAGGCTCGCCAACGCAAATCAACATCACCATCGGGTAGGGAAAGACTTCCCCTATCCGAAGGTTATGTTAGTTTGCGTGGGCGTGCCTTGAATTCCCAGAAATCATCGAGAGAAGTCATTGTTTACAAAAGCTGTTACGCCCTAATTCCAGCTCTATCTAGAATTAGTCGCAGTTCAATGTTCCCAAAATCGTCCACTGCTAACCGTACGAAATGAATCCGTAGAAGTGCTACGTAGATGCAAATATCTGCTCCATCCAGACGGGACTGTCCACGTCGCCGCACAGCCTTTCGATATTGGACTATTTCGATGGTGGAGATGAGGATGAGCATGTCCAATGTCGAATAAGTCAGAGAATTTATTAAAAATAAAAATGATTTACTGCTATTTAATGAATATATTTTTGGATTCATTTTTAATTATTTTTATTCGGGGACTGTCTACTTAGTGACGGAGTAGCAGTGATTCTATTTTAATCAATCCTGAACTAGTCCAGGTTGAGCGTTAAATGCTTCCTGGTGATTCGGCCGATTGGTGGTTCTGTTGGTGTGTCGAATAGCGTATCTATGTCTGAAGTTCTACAACAGGCAATGTTAGTGAATGTTTTTGCTTCAAAATC